TCATTAGCACTCAGCAGGAGCCCGGGATGAAGGGATGACCCTGGCCAGGGCTGCGGCCACACAGCCCAAACCCCGGCCACAGGGCACTGCAGGGACCGCACAGCACAAAGGGATTGAGCTGTAAAGGGCCCAGCCACAGCCTCCCAGCTGAGCAATTAGCAGCAAGTGTTAATGTGTTTATTACGTTTTCATCAGGGAAGTTGCACCTGGGGTCGGTCAGGTGTTTGTGGCTGGCTCTGAAGCACAAGGAAAACACGGTAAAATATCTGCAGACTGCTCCGAGAGAGTTCAAAAAGGAGAAACAGAGGATGTTGGAGTTCCCCATTCTCGGTAACAGACTGCAGTCATCAACTCTACGTGGAAGAGATCTCATACTGACAAAAAACAATGAAATCTCCATAGCTGGTGTCTCCACAATCCCCTCAGCACTTCAGAGCAGGCACTACTGTAACACATCAGATCGCTCCTATCTGGCCTAAATGCTCTGCAGAAAACTTATATTCCACTGTTTCATGATAAAAAAAACCCCACACTGCAAGTGTTGTAATAAAGCCGAGCAGCTGCTTGCATTAGAAGCACTTTTTAAGATGTGGCTGTTTGCCATGAACACACCTGACCAAAACCCTGCCAGGACATGGTTCTGCCTCACCTGCCCAGCCAGCCCCACCTCAATGTGGGGACACCAATCTGAACTTGTCCAGCCTTAGAACATTGTCACTTTACTCCACTTTACAGGATATTGACTTCCTACATTTCATTCTCTGCAAATCAATACTCGAATAGACACGAGAGAAACTGGCAGAAGGACCCAGAGTACCTGCCCACCAACCTGATGGAGATGATGACCCATAAATGAAGGTCAAATCAAAGGAAAAGTTAAACCTGACATAAAAAGAGCAGCACAAAGAGAAGAGCCTTGAAATAACAGATTTTTTTTTTTTTTTAAAGCATCTAAGATTAACTACAGGAAGAAGGAGACACAGATAAGACAGTTCAAACTCTCAGCCAGGGAACGACAGACTAAAGTCCTTTTGGAATGTCTGTGCTCAATGCCACGATTTAAGAAACCCTTCAGGTGTCCCCAGTACATCACACAGGAAATGTGCTGCCCTTTAGGGTAAAATAGCAACTCTCAATATCTGAATAGGCTACTCAGAACAAAGACAGAAAACGTGCAATGTAACACAGAACACTTAAAAGAGACTACTTGACTCTTTCAGAGATTCGTTCCATAGGAAAACAGGAAGCCAAAGGGAACCTCCAAACAGGCTCCTGTAGCAAAAGACTCCTGATCACTGTCCCTGGCAGAGCCCTGAAACCGAGACCCTTTGGGGCCAAAAATCAGCCCAAAAACGCCACAGCTGAGCTAAAGGAGAACTGGCAACACTCCCAGCTGGAGAAAGGGTTACACCAGGTCCCCAAAAGCACTGATGATTACAGCACAAACACGTGGAATTCCCGTATTTATCACTCGGGATGCTTCATCTTCCACCACACCCATGTTAGAAAGGGCTGCTTTGATTCCTGAGCCTTTTGCCTACCAGGAATCCTGGAAAGTTTTCTCTCCCGTTTCCTCCAGCCCAGGATTGTACCGAGGTTTCTGAGCACATCTCCCTTAACTGCAGTTGCTGAGCCACAAGTTCACATTCCCCAGGCTCCACCACCCTGGTACAACACAGCCTCAGCCACCAAAATTCACTGGAGTGAGGTAAAGACACAAACTCACAGTTCAGGCAGAGCCAACCTTCCCAATTCCAATTTTCAGAAGAATAGTAAGTAATCCAAAGGAGTGCAGAAAGGAGTTACAAAATTATTTATAAGCAGAAAGCATTATTTATATGGGGAGAAATCCAACAGCTTAATATATGCAATGTAACAAAAGGGATTTGCAGTCTCATCCCAGAGACTGCAAAACAAATTCCCAGCTGCACCAGGTGCCTCAGATCAGCATCACAAAGCTCACCTCCAATTCACTCTTCCAGCTCCATTTTAAGCTCTCCTTCCACAACATTTTTACATAACAAATCAAAACGATTTTTCACCCATTTTTCACCCACCCCGACCCTCCCAACACTTAACCCCATTCATAGCTCAGCACAACAGAGCCCTGGTGAGATGAAGAGGAGGAAAGCACTGGCTTTTTCATGACCTTTTGCAGATTCCCAAACCCCTCTCCTGTACATACAAGCAATCTGTTTTTTCTACAACAGAGTAATGACTCGTTTCAAAATGGCAGAGAATTCCACCTGGCACTATGGATCAGCAGCCCAACTGCAGTGTCTTCATCTAAAGGTCGACTTGGCAATAACAGAAAGCCCTAAACTGAACATTTTAATATCACCAATCACTCAGCATTTCTCATAAAGCTGATTTGCCACCTTCCCCTCACTGCAAAGGGCTCCTGGGGTGAAAGCAGCCACCCCAAGGATGCAGGGTTGGAGACACCACGAGCAGTTGTGGCTGGACAAACCCAGAACAACAAGGCTGTGCTTAAACCCTTCCACCGTGCACATTCTGATCAGTAAAGAAGCACTCATGCCACAAGTTTAAATTGATGGAAGTCTTCCCCAAAATGAGACAGGCCAGACATTGGCAAGCACTGACCTGCAAAAGCACCTCTCCCGTACCTCCCCCCTCTCTTACAGTGCCAGTGCAATAAACAACACTTGCATTATCCAACGAACAATACTTTTGCTGTCTTCACATCGACTCTGTATCCCCCATAAACACAGATGTCACTGTCCAAACTCACCAGCAACTCTCCCGTTGTTGCTCAGCTCCTTTTCCCAGGTAGGAAGAAGAAGACAAAAAGGTGATGATTCTTTCCACGTCCTGAACGTTGCAGAAAGAGGGAACCAGAAGAGCCACACCAGTAACCATCCCAGGAAAAAGAAGCCACAAGCAAAGTCTTCCCGAAGGAGAACAAAGCACACTCCAAAAACTTCTAACAGCCAGCCCTGAGGGGGAGCTTATTTGTAGGTGTGCTAATTGAGTTGCAATTGGAAACACCTGGGTCAAGCAAAGGGAAAAGGCAGGTGAAACGATGTAAGGGCTTCTTAATCTCAAACTCAAAACACCTGAGCCAGGTAAGTACCAAAGCTAACAGAACCCGCAGCATAGGAGCACAAGCCTGGCTTTGTTTTCTCAAGACTTGGGGCAGTTTCCAGCTCAGAAGGAGATCCTTTAGATGAACGCCATGGCACCAGCAGGACTTCCCTGAGCCACGTTCAGATGAGAGATTGAGAATAAATTTTTGTCTGTGAGGGTGGGCAGGGCTGGCCCAGGGTGCCCAGAGCAGCCGTGGCTGCCCCTGGATCCCTGGCAGTGCCCAAGGCCAGGCTGGACATTGGGGTTGGAGCAGCCTGGGACAGTAGAAGGCGTCCCTGCATGGGGTTGAACGTTCCTTCCAACCAAAACCACGATTTGTTTCCATGGATTCGTGTCTCCCATCATGCAGAACACTGATTTGGCTGGGTTATGTCCTGCCAAAAGCCGTGGCCGTGGCTTTTCCCACGCCCAGGACAGGAGCGTGTGGCGCTGCCTCCCCTGCACGAGGGCTCCGAGTCCCATCGCTCATCAGACACATTCACTTGTT